AGGAATGATTGTATGAAACATAATAAGAATGAAGAATAGTATGGAATACAATGTAAACAAACTTTGTAAGCAAACCAATATAAAACAAAAATGAAAGAAAAAAAAAAAAAGAACTGTGGGTGACCTCCAGGAACTGTGGGTAGTCCTCAACTGACAGGAAGAAAACAAGAACCTCAATCTTTTAGCAACCAGGAGATGAATTCAGAGAACAATGTGAGGGAGTTGGAAAGGAATCCTTCCTCAGGTGAGCCAGCGTCTGGTCAGACCACAGCTCTAGCCAATGCCTAGACTGCAGCATATGAGACCCTATCCAGGGGATGTAGCCATGTCACGCCTGGACCCCTGTCCCAGGAGGCAATAATAAATGGGTGGTTTTTTATGCTTTTAAATTTGTGTACTTTGTAGCACAAAATAAGAAACTAATGACCAATACATCCATCCAACCATTCTGTAATCTAGCACCTATTTCTATCTTGTGTTTAAGGGTATGACACTGCCAAATGTCTTGATGTTTTTCATATGATACTTTCCCCCCTCCTAGTTAGTTAACCTAATAATTCTGTTAAGGTAAGGGCATCTGATTAGGCACACTTGCCTTGTTCTTTGTAAGCTCACTCTGATACTACTACTTTCCTGAATGCTTACTCATTATTCTTCTAAGAATTTATTCTCAGATCATTCTTGCACTTGAAGACTAAGTCCCCAATCTGCAGTGTGTAGACGCCTCTTTAATTCCCTTTTTGGAAATTTAGATCCTATTTTCTTCTAGCTTTGATGACCTCAAGTTATTTTAATCTTCCTGAGGGCAAGAATAATCTCTTCTTCTCTTTCACAGGATAATTCCAAGAGAAAAGCTATGAAAATAATTTATGCTTGAAAAAGAATTATTCATACGTGGTTGCTGCAAATCTTAGGAGGTAGTGTAACTGACCCAAGGACTTTCAACTGATACGGATGAAACGGTTGAGAGTAAAACTTGAGATTTTTACATTTAGGTCATGTTGCTTCCCGCCTGTTGGGTCTGAAGGGTAAATTCTGAAGATCATCCACATGTCTGCATGTCACACTTAAAAATAAGAATACCTTACCAAACCCAGGAAAAGACACCACCAAAATAGAAAACTATAGGCCAATATCTCTCATGAATATTGATGCAAAAATCCTGAATAAAATACTGGCAAATAGAATCCAACGATACATAAAAAAATAATTCACCATGACCAAGTGGGATTCATAACAGGTATGCAAGGATGGTTCAACATAAG